ACGTTGAAAAAAAAAATTAAAAAAAAAAAATAAAAAGGGCAGCAGCTAAGCGAAGCTTCTTGTCCCTGTGGGGTTTTTAGATCAGCATTTGCCCTCCTCACAGCCTTTCTTTCTCTGTGGTTTGCATCTTCTGCTTACAGTCACCCTGTGCCTATCCCAACTGCTGGCATCCAGTAACCCTGGGGTTCCCCGTCTCCCCGAGGATTTCAGCACCCAAGTCACAATCCTTGGGGACTCAGCATCCAAACTGCCCCCTCTAGGCCATCTCATCCTCTCCACTTTCCTCACTTGGATCTTTGCCATCCCGCTGCCTGGCTCCCTCGAATTCCTCTGCCTGCCAGTCCCTCCGGCCATCCTCAGACCCCCAAGGAGGCCCCTCCATGGCGTCCGCCCCTCGGGGCTAGCAGGCGGTGGGGTGTGTTACTGAACTTACCCTCTGTGCTAAAACTTCCCGCGCCCACGTCCTAGTGTTCCTGGGGTCTTGCCTTGTCTGGTGATCGGTGCGATGCTGCGGTCCGCCTCTGAGGTGGTCCAGAGGGTGCTGGTGGACAGTGCGTGGGAAGTGCTTACTTAGCACAGTAACGAACACCCAGCTTGAGTCAGTGGCAACCTTCCCTGGGCGGAGCCCACGCTCGTCTAGCTGGCTGGCTCATGGGGTAGGAAAGCACCTGCATTCTGTAACACGTCCTTGGCCTTGGCCCCCATCTCCATCTTGAGGGCAGGCAGCCTCTTCTTTCTCCAGTTCCTCCCCTTCAGGGCTGGAGGAAGCCCTAAGTTGGGATGGAATAATTCCACTACAGACCCCGGCGTGTGTGTGTGTGTGTCTGTGTCTGTGTGTGTGAACCATTCTTTCTGTGGCTCAGAAACAGGTTTCGTCACCTTTAACCCTGTGCATCAGCCACCCCGCCCTTCACTGCCCTATTCTGCACACGACATCCTCTCAGGCTTTCCTGGAGGCCGAGTGCCCGCGTGTGCAGTGCGAGCTTCAGCTGTCCCCCCGACTCTGCGTATTCTGCTGAGTCCGCGTGGGTTCTGTTCCCTGCTCCCACCCCTTCCCGAGCCTGAGCCTCCTGCTCCGGCCCTTGCCTGCACTCCAGCACCTGTGCCATCGGCCCCTGTGGGCCGTGGCTGCAACCATTTCACATTCCCGATGGCGCTGCACGAGGGTTCTGATTTCTTCACATCCTTGCCAACACCTGCTGTCCTTTGACTTTGTTGATTTGAGCCTTCCTAGTGGGTGCGAGGTGGTCCATCACTGTGATTTTGATTTGCGTTTCCCTGGTGACCAATGATCCCCAGCATCTTTTCATGTGCTTGGTGGCCATTTGTAGATTTCCCTTCGACAAATGTTTGCTGACAGTGGCTTTTGCCACTGGGCACTGGGCTTCAGTCTTCCTGTCTGTGAAATGGGACAGCCACACCGATGGAAAACTCTCATAGGGAAGAAGATGTGGGATCTGGAAGCATGTGGCTCTGGACTGAGGACATGGGCAGAGACAGCTGCAGCCTCACAAGCCACGGGGACCAGGGGACAGACAGCCTCCTGCGGCTGGAGGCACCAACCACACCCACGCCTCTCCCCTGCTGTCTGCAGACGGGCTTTGACTGCTCCCTGGCCGGTAATCTGCAGCAGGTAAACCATTCTTATGGCTAAGTTTATTCAAAAAAGCGATTTACAAAATAGCTAGTCAAACAGTGTGAGCCGGGAGGGAGGTTTCTGGCTTTTCAGCACATGGTTGATGCTCTGGGTTGAACTGTGATTCCCCAAAAGCTATGTTCAAGTCCTACCCCCCAGCATCTGTGAACACGGCCTTATTTGGAAATGGGGTCTTTGCAGATCAAATTCCTTACCATGAGGTCATACTGATTAGGGGGAACCATTCAGTGGTTCAAGTGTCTAAGGACATTGTTCAAGGATGGTGTCCTTAGAAGAAAGAAATGTGGACACAGATGCACAGAAAAGATGTCCACGTGATGACGGGGACAGAGATTGGATTTATGCTGAACCGGCAACGCACGCCAAGGAATGCCAGCAGCCATCAGAAAGGGAAAGAGCATCACCCAGGGCCTTCCCAGGGAGCAGGGCTGGGCTGACATCTCGATTTCAAGCTTCTAGACTCCAGAACCATGGAATAATAGATTTCCATTGCTTCAAGCCAGCCAGTTTGTGGTACTTTGTTAGGCAATGATGTGGGGGAAATGTAGGTCACAATGATGTTAATAATAAAGGCCTGGGGACAATTCTGTCCCATGCTGGTTGTGTGTTTTGCATTTCTGTCCACCAGCGTTTGACAGAGCCCGACTCCCTGCCCGGTGACGCTAAATACGTGAGACCCTCATTTTGTTCCCAGTCTCTTAAGATGAATGTGCTAATGCAAACAGCGGCTCCAGAGGGACATGAGGGCTAAGGAAAGGCCAGGCTGGTTGGGAGATGCCAACTCTGGCCTGTCACATGCCTGACACTCAGGTCCTCACCTGAGGGAGGAGGAGGCCGCGGGTGGGGAAACTTCAGGGGACCGTCCCAGTTCAATCCCAGGGTCTGACAGTTGTGCTCTTCTCCTCTGCACAGGGTTCCTGGAGACCTCTGGAGAACGGTGAATGTCTTTTTCACCAAAAGCTGCTCACAGCCACCCCTGGGCTAATTCCTTCTTAAGTCTGTCCCGAAGGGCCTCCCTAGCATAGGGCCAGCTGCTGGCCTCAAGTAATATGTTTTTTTTTTAATTTTTTTTTTTTCAACGTTTATTTATTTTTGGGACAGAGAGAGACAGAGCATGAACGGGGGAGGGGCAGAGAGAGAAAGGGAGACACAGAGTCGGAAACAGGCTCCAGGCTCTGAGCCATCAGCCCAGAGCCTGACGCGGGGCTCAAACTCACGGACCGCGAGATCGTGACCTGGCTGACGTCGGACGCTTAACCGACTGCGCCACCCAGGCGCCCCTCAAGTAATATGTTTTAATCAGCTGCATGAAGCTTTCCCATTTTCAGACATTTTAAAGTAGCTGGTGAGACTCAAGGCGTCAGCTGTCCAGAGGGTCGACTTTGTGTCTGGGCAGCAATCTGTGGAAGTATCCATGACGTGGGCATGTGCCTGATTCTAGTGAAAGTGTCGGGGAGCCCCTGTAAAATGTAGAAGAAAAAAAAAATCTCTGCAATATAAGAAAAAACAAACCATGAGAAGAAATGCGGGACTTTTATTGCAGTCGTTAATAATCTTGAGGTTAACAATTGAACTCATTCAGGAAAATATTTTGCGTTTAATGATTTAGAGCCCAGGGCTACATGACAGAAGTAGCTAAAAGTACACGAGAAAAAAATGCACCTTGGGAAACAGCCCGGCACCCGGGGCCGCAAAACTAGAAAGTATCAAGGAAAAGGATGCGTCTTAATTTCTGTAGCAGACGGTACAATGGTCCGCCCAGGCCGGACCCAGCCCTGGGAGGTGGCTGCTTACTGTGCTCTGCGACATATGCCCCCCCCACCAGCCAGCCCCCCCCCCACCGCCCTCCCCCCCAGTCTGCAGCCCTGCAAGCCCGATGATACCAACATCTCCGCGGCTAAGAAATACTAGATGTGATGACAGGGCACCTTGAGGGTTATTCGCTGGCCCTCAGCAAATCAGCGAGCAGAGAAAGCAAACCTGCCTTTAGAAGGTGAAGCAGCGTTGGGCTCCCCCCTCGGGGAAGGGCGAGGGGCGGGTCTGATGAGGTCACGGTTCCCAGCTGGCAGGTGCGGCTTTGGTAAGGGCATCGGGCGGCCGGCGGCGCTGGCCTCCGGCAAACACGGCCGTCGGCGGTGGTCGGTCAGGGCCCGGACGGCACAGCATCCGAGTGGACCGGCCCTTTGGCTTTTCGGAACAATAAAGCACTCGACCGCCGTGAGCCCAAGAGCCGTCCAGGGCCGCTCCGGGCAGGAAGGACGGGCTGCAAGAGTAGGACCGTCCGGCTCGCGCAGGTGAACGGGCCCGGCAAACCGCACGCGGGCAGAAGAAACTCAGGGCAGTGGGACTGACAGGTGTTTTCTAGCTCACGTGGAACACGGTGTTTCTACCTTCTTCTAGGCAGAGTTTCATCTGCTCTTTCCACAACGCTCTTGCTTTGGTGTTCCAGAACTAGCTTTACGTCTACTCCTCCACCGGTCCGTGGTCACTTCTAGAACTCAAAAGCGGCTCTAGAGGGGATGACGAGAAACGCGGGTTTGCCTGATTGCCCCGCTGGAGGCGGTCTGGATCGGGGCCGTGCCGGGTTTGGGACGCACACGGAGATCTCATTCTGGAGCTGTTCCCTTTGCACAGACGGTCTACGATCTCCTTCTCCAGAAGGTGGCTCCTGGGATTAAAAAGCCATTTCAAAGACGGGAGCTTCTCTTTGGCTTTTCCCAGGAGTACCTGGTGTCCCCCTACAGCGACCCCCTGTCACACGGGAAGGAGAATTCAGTAACGCTGGTGCCACTTTCAAAAGCCTGCCTTGCCCTGCCTTTCTGAAACGCGCCCCTGTGATTCTGAAATGCGTCCCCTAGGTGTTAAGACGCGTTGTCCTGTTACTAAAAAGCATGAAATGGTCCACTTTCCCTCCAGCCTTAATCTCGTCCTCCCAAACCTGCGCCCTCGATGACTGCTGACGTACAAGTAAAGCTGGGCTTTGAACACTTCACTTAGGTCTCGGCAAGTTCTGCTAAAGGCACGTACAGGGGCACGCTGACCCTCAAACGACATCAACCAGGACTCCCTGCAAACGAGGTTTGGGGTCAGATCCTTTCTAGTGTCAGACACGGAAATTTAAGGCAAAGGACGGGGCGCTTCACTTTGTCTTAGATTTCCCAGGGGAGCAGCGGGTTGAAGAAAACGCCAATTGTCTCTGCCGGGGAGATACCAAAGGTCGGGATATCGAGGCACTGCTGGTGGGGGCGCTGGGGCCTCGCCGTTCACTTGCGAGGCTGCTGGATGTGCTGGGTTCTCGGGGAGGGGTGCTTGTCCATGGAGGCGTGGGGCTTCTGGTGAGCCACCTGGGCGGCCGCCGGTGGGAAGTCTTTGTCGCCCTGTCGGGAGACAGAATGCACCAGCTCACCAACACTGAACAGCGGGGTAACGCAAGAACAAAGCCCCCGACCCCACGTCCTCTGGCTTCCCCATAGGGTGGGCAGTGGGCTGGGGAACCTGCTGGCAGGTCGAAGGCTGTCTCTTGGGACCGTGGGGGTCCTGAAGCTGTCTGGGGTGCTGAGGGGGGCACCCAGAGGGTGACAATGCTGTCTGCCCCCCTTGCCGTGAGCTCAGGTCTCCATACGACTCGCTCAGGACTAAGCCGGTATTGGGTGGCTTTCTTCTGTGAGAACTGTGACCTCTACATCCAGGGACAAAACAGAACCAAATCCAGTGTCCTAATTCTGATCTGCTGCCATGGCCGAGTCAGGGCACTTGTTGGGAGGGAGACACAGCCAGGGCAGGGCTGAAAGCCGTGAGAGGAAGCCAGATCCAACCTGCTGAGTCTCACAGAAGGCACCCAGCTGTTTGTCGGGGAGGAAATGCCTTCTTGAGACAACAGTGCATGTGTGATGGTGGCTGGGGCCCAGACCACGGCAAGCAGGCTGGAGCCCTGATGTGCAAGGGCTGAGCTGTCACCATGGGGTGACTCTGGCCTTGTGTCAGCATTTAATTTTCTTTTGTGTATCTGAGGAGCCACCTGTGTGTCCCCCGGGGTCCTGGGGCTCCGTGGTGAGCTGTGTCCAGCAAGAGCATTTTCTTAAGTCCTCACGTGCTAAGGGCTCGGATGTACCATGAGCCACAGGGCTATGGTTGGCACTGCTGTGCCCTCCCTCAAAGGAGAGTGTGCTGCTGGGTCATTAAAGGAAAATGTTGGGGGACACCTGGGTGGCTCAGTCGGTTAAGCACCCGACTTCGGCCCAGGTCTCGATCTTGCGGTTCATGGGTTCGAGCCCCGCGTTGGGCTCTGTGCTGACGGCCCAGAGCCTGCCAGCCTGCTTCGGATTCTGTCTCTGTCTCTCTCTGCCCCTCCACTGCTCACACACACTCTCTCTCTCTCTCAAAAAATAAACATTAAAACAAAATTTATTTTTAAAGTTGGGTTTCACCAGAAGTGGGGCTCTTGAAAAGTAAAGGGTGCGACAAAACCCCCGTGAGTTTAGTCTGGGGGCGGCAGACATTTGTGGTAACGGGCCAGACAGTAAATATTTCGGGCTTTGTGGCTCAGCTGCCACGGTAGCAGGAAAGCAGTGTAGACACGCATGAATGGGTGTGGCCGTGTGCGGCTAAAACCGCATCCGCGGCTAAAAGGCATCCACGGACACCGGGATATGAATTTCATGTCATTTTCATGTGTCACAACAGCTAACTCTTACTTCGATTCTTATTAAGTCTTGTTTCGCTGGGGAGCAGCCGACCCTGGTTGAGTTGAAAGAGAAGGGGGAGCAAGAGAAAGGCGGGGGGCAGGCAGCTCCGGCTCCTCTGTGTGAGCCCTGCTGGCAGTGCTCGCCACACAGTGCTCGCTGTGGAAGCGCTCCACGGACACGACACAGCCTCTGGACCAGGGGCCTCTGGGCCCCGACAGATGAACGAATGGGGTCTAACAAAGACAGGAGGAGTCCCACAGCGCACCAAGGGTTTGGCAGAATGGTTCTTACCCGGGCGATCACACCGGAGATGAACACGGTCGGTTTGGGTGGGCTGCAAGACAAGAAGGGAAAAGGCAATTTCAGGGAACAACTCACAGAAGTGGAGGGAGGCAGGCAGCGCGAACTGGAGGAGGTGGGTTTGGGGGAGTGTAACAGCCGGTAACCCGGGAGGAGGGAGGAAGGGGCAGCCGACCTCCTCTAGTATCGCATCCCACCCCCCGCTGGCCATTGGGGTCCTTCTCCTGAGGCTGAGTTCGGGCAGGAGCAGGAGACCAGCAGGCAGCAGTTGAGGCCTGTGCTTTCTTTTGTTGTCGTTCGGGGGGCTGTCCCCAAATTGAGGCTAGGGGCAAGCCCAGGTGTTTTTGTTTCAAGAGACAATGGACACAGGTGCTTCCTGAGGCAGGGAAGAAACAGGGTCGCACTGGGCTGAACTCGGAGACCCCCACTAAGGAGGCATTCTTCCGGGGCCCTCACAAGGTCCGCGGCTTCTTTCTGGCAGCTTCTAACGGGTGAGATCCCAGGGCCGATGCAAAAGCTCCTGGCCCCTAGGAGACCCAAGTATTAAAAATGCAGGGTCCTTGAGAAGCTATTGTCATTTCTTAACATCTCAAGTCATATTGAGCTCGCCCACCTGTCAGCAAGACTGGGGAGGTGGGGGACAGGACCAAAGCAGTAACTGTGCATTGCTGAAACGCAGACAAGTTCAAACATGCTGAAGTCAGTTGTCATTCTACCAAGTGGAAATGATCGCAGTTAATAGATGGATATCCATCCTGTGTTTCTTTCTGTGGACAGACACACTTGTTTTCATATTAAACTTCTTACAAAAGAGTCACGTTGTTTTCTGTATTTAGGATACGCCGAGCATACTTTCATGTTAGCATACACTCTCCTGTGCATTTTCTTTTTTTTTTTTTATTTTATTTATTTTTGGGACAGAGAGAGACAGAGCATGAACGGGGGAGGGGCAGAGAGGAGAAGGGAGAGACACAGAGAATGGGAAACAGGCTCCAGGCTCCAGGGCCATCAGCCCAGGAGGCTTGACGGGGAACTCCGCGGACAGCGAGATGTCGTGACCCGGGCTGAAGTCGGACGCTCAACCGACTGCGCCACCCAGGCGCCCCTCTCCTGTGCATTTTCAAAAGTGGCTGCACGTCATTTAAAAGTGGCTGCCATCATTTAAAAACATGAGAACACAGTTCCAGGGAGTACACAGGTGTGCACCCCCTGAATGCCTCCACCAGGGGTGAGGGGACCGGGGAGCAGGAGGTGAATACAACGCCAGCCTGGCAGGGAGAGGGTAACAGGGGGTGCGGGCGGCTCCGGTGGGTGGACAGCCTTGCTGGGCAGACAGAGGGGGGTCCATCCCGTGAGCTGCCCAGCTCGCCTCCCACCTGCTCTGCCGGGCATCCTGGGAAGGAAACCACTTGTCTTAGCTTTGTTTTGCCGCGGGCAAAAGTCCCAGTATTCGGTAAGTTCACTGTTTATATCCCTAACAGTTGAGCTAAAATACCCCAAATTCCCCCAAGTGATTTCTGTCACTTCAGGAGACTAAGAAACTTCAAGTCTTACTAAGCAGCACAGAAACGTCCCCTACGTGGCTGGTTTTCTTTCGCTTTTGCTGTGTGCTTAAATGGGTTGATTTTTTTTTTCTTTTATTACACATATGATTTGGCTACAGGATCAATAGCCAACCAGAGATGAATGAGTTCAACGCAAGTGGGAGTCCCCCACGTGGTGTATTTGGATTCTAACATTTCATACATGTTTTAGAAAGGAATATGGTCCTGGCACCATAAAACTTTCTTACATTTTGAGTGTTCCTTTAAAAATCTAGGAAGAGGGGCACCTGGGTGGCTCAGTCTTCGGCTCAGGTCGTGATCTCGTGAGTTCGAGCCCCGCGTCGGGCTCTGCGCTGACCGCTCAGAGCCTGGAGCCTGCTTTGGGTTCTGTGTCTCCCTCTCTCTGTGCCTCTCCCCTGCTTGTGCTCTGTCTCTCTCTCGAAAGTAAGATTAAATAAACCTTAAAAAAATTAAAAATAGATAAAAAATAAAAATCTGGGAAGAGCCTAAAGTAGGGACGGTTCCATTTCGTCAACTAATCACGCGGCATCACCTTCCAGGGAGGCACCGCCATTGTTTTGTACCAAGAGCGTATGATTGCTTGAATCATCTCCACTTTTCTTGGTTTTGTAACCTCAGTCAAGGCTCTTAAAGGCAGTAGAGACAGCTCCCTCCCCTCAGCAAGAACTGGGTGAGAAAGTCTCACCCACAGAGAGTGAATCTGGTCAGAGTAAATATACCGTAGAGTGGCTTCCCTGGTCCAAAGTGAGCCCCAAAAGGTGGCCGAGGAAGCGTGAGCCATTATCTATATAGAACACGTATGCCTGGGCGTCTGGGTGGCTCCGTCGGTTAAGTGTCCAATTTCAGCTCAGGTCATGACCTCGCAGTTTTTGCGTTCGAGCCCCACGTCGGGCTCTCTGCTGGCAGTACAGAGCCTGCTTCAGATCCTCTGTCCCCCTGTCTCTCTGCCCCTCCCCTGCTCGTGCTCTCTCTCTCAAAAATAAATATTAAAAAAAGCCCACATATGCCCTCTCTCTCTCTCCCTGTCTCGTTCTATACGTGTATGTATACATTCGTTATTGGAAAACGGACAAAAGCAGACAAGACAAAAAGTTAAAATCACGTGTACTTCTACCTGTGTGTATAAAACACACAGATGCACATTTATGCCCAGAGCCAGACTATAAGGAAACTGCAGCCACATCAGCAGGTTACGCTCCTGGGGGAGTAGCACCTGGTTCTGGAGAAAGGAGGTGGCCTGTCGCAGGCAGAGTGCCAGCCTGCAGTGGGTCCCACGTCCTGAACCCCTGGAACGCCCGGCCCCCTCCGGACGGCAGTCCCTGCCCGTGGCTCCTGGGATCTGGTCATCGGTGCCCGCTCCCCTGTGTGCGTGGAGGAAGGGTCTCCGGACCCTAGGAGCCCCATCACGGGGTCCCACGCTTCCACCCGATGGCCCCCTGACCCTCTTCCGAAGTGCCCTTCAAAGTCTGGGTATTTCCATGCAAGTCGGTCCCTGTGTGTCTCCCACGTTAAACACGAGGGTGGGTTCCAGTCCTTGCCTTGAGAACATCTCGGGACATGTGTGTCAATGATCCTAAGAGGTCACTAATGGCCCTGGTCCAGCCCCAGCATCAGAAAATGCACGTGGAGGGAGGGAGCGGCCGTGCCTGGAATCTTGACTCCCACAGGCTCCCCTCCAGGTGAGTCTCTCAAAGAGACCTCCCCTCACGACAGTAGAGCGTCCAGAGCGACTCTGGGGACTAACAGAGACCCCGAAATAAGAGCGCCCCCAGCCCGGCTCCCTCCCTAGGGGGTGTGCAGGGGCTGTGGGCACAGAACCTGAGGATGGTGTGCAAAATGGCACTCCCCTCGCCGACCCCCGTCTTCCGGAGGCACCTGCGCCTTGACGAGTCCTTACTTAAGCTGTTGGGCTTTAATGGCTTGCTGGATTCGGCTCATAAAGGGAAAGTGTGTCCGTGAAAAGCAAGCTGGACTCAGAGGAAAGAAATACGCTCTGAGAACAGTCTGGGCGATGGGTGGGAAGACAGCCGGGTGCTGGTGGCTCTGTACACCAGATTTTTAAAAAAAATTTTAATATCTATTTACTTTTGAGGGACAGATTGGAGTGGGGGAGGGGCAGACAGAGAGGGAGACACAGAATCTGAAGCAGGCTCCAGGCTCCGAGCTGTCTGCACAGAGCTCGATGCGGGGCTCGAGCCCACAGACCGTGAGGTCATGACCTGAGCCAAAGCTGGACACCCAACGGACTGAGCCACCCAGGCGTCCTGAGCCACCCAGATGTCTTAGGGCATGTATATTCTGTACAAAATGGCTCTTTAGGGTTGCAATGGAGGGAGGAGAGTTTCTGAAACATTCTGCTGAAATTCAGGAACCACTTTCTGGTTAGGGGTGAGAAGAGGGAACAGGTGACGGGCGCATATACCCCATGGCGCCTTTGGAAAGGAATCCGGAAACGGTGGGCAACCCAAATTGCAGAAGTAAACATTAACATTCCATATTAATAGAAATATTACAAGATAAGTAAATACTAAAAAATTCAAAACTCAAATATCCTCCTTTCCAGCCTTTGGTTTTTGGTGTTGTCTTAAGAAGTACACGGCGGGGCGCCTGGGTGGCGCAGTCGGTTAAGCGTCCGACTTCAGCCAGGTCACGATCTCGCGGTCCGTGAGTTCGAGCCCCGCGTCGGGCTCTGGGCTGATGGCTCAGAGCCTGGAGCCTGCTTCCGATTCTGTGTCTCCCTCTCTCTCTGCCCCTCCCCCGTTCATGCTCTGTCTCTCTCTGTCCCAAAAATAAATAAAAAAAAAAAAAAAAAAAAAAAAAAAAAAAAAAAAAAAAAAAAAAAAAAAAGAAGTACACGGCACTGATCGTGCCTACGCGTATCACAGGCTTCTTGCCGGGCGTACCGGCCCGCACGGGCCCACAGGGTTGCCCAGAGAGCTGTGCAGGGGTGAGGGGTGTGGCCCAGGGAGCCACTGAGGCCACACCACCCCCACGTCTTGGCCACGGCAGGCCCCATTCCTTTCGCCAGGTGCGCGTTTGTGACCCCCTGTTCAAAGGGACAGGAAGTCGCCCTCTGCGCACCCAGAGGGCCGATCTGGGCAGAGGAGCAGGGGCGCCAAGCTGGCTTCGGTCTGAGCAGACTCTGGGGCGCAGCCAAAACTAGGCATATTCCATCCAGTTAAGCCGGCTCGGAAGCGGCGGTGAAGACCTCAGACTTCATCCGGCTTCCCTGTGCTCCCGCGTCTCCATCTGTCGGTGCTGCTAAGAAATACAGCACCGGAAGCCACAAGGGGAAAAGCCCTGCAGATTTTTAGGTAGGTTTTTTCCCATGTTTTTTATTTATTTTTGAGAGAGAGTGTGAGTGGAGGAGGGGCACAGAGAGCGGGACAGAGAATCATCCCAAGCAGGATCCGCACCGGCAGCACCGAGCCCGGTGCGGGGCTTGAACCCCCAACGGTGAGCTTTCAGG